GGGAGGCTTCCCCTAGAGAGCAAAATCCTCTTGCAAATTGACCCGGAGGGACTCAGATGTTATGTTTGGTACATTTCACCTGGCAACCTTAAGTAAACCTGCCTCCCACCGCAGACACTGTGTTCTCAAAAAGAAATGGGCATAAAATAGGAAGAAGTAAATATTTGGGGTTCTATAAAAAGCATTCCCCACATGCTGTTGGGTTATCAGACATACAGGAACTGTATTTCCCCCCATTCAGTGGCAACACACACTTAGCACAGTTTCTGCACTTCTGGAAGGTAGGAAACTGCCTTCTACCAGCCATGGTTGTTTTCTCTCTGGTCCAAGCCTGTCCCCTGTGTCTGGGAGTGGCTTCCTCTAAGGCAACAGTGGAGAACCTTATTACCTCCACAGGCCAGAGCCTTCTCAGATCCTAGCCTTGCAGGCCAAATTTGACAGGTAGTTTTGTTCGCCTATCTATCTTTCACCTAATTCCACAATGATGCCGGGTGATTGGTTGCTTTGAAGCCCCAAAGTCAGGACTTCAAAGCACCACATAAGTGTGATTGCAGACATCAGCTGCGTGAGTTAAGTTCCCTGTGTGGAATTTGCTCACACAGCCAATCCAGCAGAATTTGACTCTGTTGGGTGGCGGAACCAAAACCTGTTTTCTCTTGCCAGGACACAATTGGGAGTGTGCTTTAAGGCTCTGGGTAGCTCATTGGCACCAGTGTCTCTACCTGCCCCACACATATGACATTGCAGGTGGGCATGGCTTGGGGATAATGTCCTCACTGGCCAAATACAAATGCCTGGTGGGTCACATTTTTGCCCAAGGGCTGGCAGTTCCCCACCCCTGCTCTAGGGTTTCTAGCAGAAGTCCTTCTAGAATCAAAGAATTTATAGAGCTGAAAGGGTCCTTAGAGCTCATCCACCCCCTACTTTATACAGGAATCTTGCAGAATTGTCTCATCAGTGTAGGTTGCCATGTCAAATCGCGTCCAAGCCCAGTTCAAAGTCTGGGTTCTTCTCATTAAAGCTCCGGTGCCAAAATACCTACAGAACTTCCTCCTGGAAGTATCAACCCACCTGTGGCATTCAGTATCAGAGGACCTGCTTCCTCTCACTCTGATGTTTGGCGGATGGGCACAAAAACCAACTCCTCTTCATTGCTGCACCTCAGTTGCAAGAGTCCCTCTGTAAGAAAGCCCTCCCTGCTTTCTGGAGCATGCTCAAGACTTAGCCTTTGAGGAGCTTGGGCACTTACTGGCATGGCGGTCGGTACTGATGAACTCACATTGGGAGTTGCATGGTCCTTCCACTTGCCTCCAGTCAAAATTCTGGCAGCTGTCTTGAAAGCATGGAACATACAGAAAACAGAAGATTGTCCGAGGGACTCCTAAGGAAAAAAGGAGAAAAATGTGAGAATCAACGGGATACACAATCTCATATTCATCAACACTTCCCCCTAGTATTTTTCCCAAGTGTAGGAACTCATCCACATCCACATATATATTCTCTAGCAAATATGCAGTTATCCTTAGGTGAATCTGCTTCCTTTTCTGAGAACTACATACCTTTATTCTCCAGAAGGATCCTGCACCTGCATTTGCGCAAGGGGGATCGAGTTGAAAGCAGCATAGGCAGCATCCAATGGACTCTCCTTCTTTGGAGGTTTTTGAACAGAGGTTGGATGGCCATCTGCCATGGATGCTTTAGCTGAGATTCCTGCAGTGCCAGGGGTTGGACTAGATGACCCCCAGATGTCCCTTCCAGCTCTGTGATTCTATGATTCTATGGATGCTGCTGCTGTATTATTTGGAGCTGAACACACAGCTATTGAGCCTGTCTGGTTTATGCAACCTCTCTCTTTCTCTCATCCCTGTCTATCACTATATGTTTACCCAGGAACTCTGTTTACTCTCTCTCTCTTTGACATTATGATCACCCTGCCTCCTCTTCAGTAACATTGGTTCTGGTGAATACAAATGCCATCCCACCCTGCTGTGCAATTTCTAACTTTGTAGCAGGTTCCCACAGGTGTAGAACAGATCAAAACCCACAAGCAGCGGACCATGTATGCCAGTGACGAATTATCGGCAGACTCCACACGGAAGTGTGTTCCCCGTAGAGACTACGGCGTTCGACGCCTCCTCCCTTGAACTCTTCTTTTTCACCAGTCAAGCTGTGAATAACAAAACCAGTCCCGCAGTCCACACACATCCCTCTCTTCAGGCAAAAGGAAATATATGCTATCATCTGGGGGCTTAGTGAGCAACGCAGAATTGACAAGAGCCTCCCAAGTTCCATTTTACTTATGGCAGAGAAGTGGGAGAACACAGGACTTTGGATTTGTATTCTTTCCTGGTCCTACTTAGAACTGACCCATTGAGATGGACAAATCCAACATAGCCATGCCCGATAGCTTCAGTGGGTCTACTCTCAGCAGTGGTTATAATCCTTCATATTTTCCGAGGAGCAAGGGCATCATCTGCCAGAGCATTAGCACTCACATTGGGTGTGGGACATTCTACCATGCCCTCTTACTAACAGCCCTGCAAGGTAGGCTATATGCTCAAGTAGTGACCGGCCCAGGGTCAACCAGCAAGATTCATGGCTCAGCAAGAATGTAAATCCAGGTCTCCCCAGCCAAAGTCCATTACACTATCCTTTGCTTGGTTTACTGTTGTAGGGCTATCTACTGATCCTAATAGTTAATTTCGGTTGTTTATTTATTTTCACATTCATATCCCACCTTTTCTTTAAGGAACTCATGGTGGCATGAGTGTTTCTCCTCCTCCCCATTCTCACAACAACTTTGTGAAGTAGGTCAGGCTGTGAGACTGTGACTAGGGCAAGATCACACAGGGAACTCTTTGGCTGAGTGGGGATGTGAAAACCTGGTCTTCCAGGTCCTAGTCTAATGTTCTAACCATTGCACCGTGCTAGCTCTCAGTGATGATGATGATGATATATTTATTTATATGGGGGGCCACTAGGGGCGCATCGGAAGATGGCTGACAATAACATCTCTCCGACCCACACGAGGTAATTAAGAGGCTGTGATGGGAGTAAACAGCCTCCCTGCCCCCCCAAGCGTGTGGGGGGGGACTGCCCTTGCCTGCTGTGCCCTATACCACCCCCGAATTTGTGGGGGTGGGGGCACTAGGCAGAAAGCCCTTGTGCGGATCTCGGCGCTCCTGGGTCTCTGCTCGGCTGTCTCTGGTTCGCGCCTCTAGCTGCAGCAACTTCAAAAGAAACAATTAGGAGGAAGCTAATGCACATATTTCAAGGAAGAAGGGGGAGTAAAGACTGCTAACTGAAGAGATCTCTGATAAACAAGACGGGTCGGAGGAACAAGAATAAATCATGAGAAGACACACCAAGGCTCGGTATGTTCGGCAACGGGACTGGATGGGGGAGGGGGAAAAACTTTCTTTTCTTTTCTCTATGTGATTAACCAAGAATCCCCCCCCCCCACAAGTCACAAGTCAGAAATGCCGTTTAAATGACTTAAGCTGTGGATTTAAGACTGTGTGGAGATAATTTTCTAACCAAAGCATGTTTCAAGAAGATCGTGGAAAGCATAAGAGCTTTGGAATGACGCAGCAAAAAATAGCATCGCCATTTTGGCAAGTTCTGTCGAAAGACTTATGTCTGGGAGGAGGAACAGATCTGTTTTCATATTGTGGGTGAGCCTCCTCAGAGGGACTAAAGAGCGACAGATTTGCGAGATTAATGATGGAAAGAGTGCTGTTATTTATGAAAGTGATGATATATGGAAACCATCTTGATATGATGATTGGACTAACGGAAAAATTCACACAGGATTATAATTGGTGTTTACCTGCTTAATGAGATTATCAGAAGAGATCATAAAGAAAAAAAGAAAAATATACGAACAAGATGAGATGTGGAAACAGCAAGATAAGACTGGATAGAATTATGAACATTATTTGGACAGCTTTGTGGATATTAACGCAGCAGCAAGAAGATGATCAGAATCCCCCTTCGGAACTTGAAATATGGGTCCCCCCAACAAAAATTTAAAATTCGGCTTTGTAATTCGGAATTCATGTGATGTGATGTGATTTGATTTGATTGGTAGGTTAATAAAAATTATTTTTTTAAAAAAGAGATATATTTATTTATATATATATATACACTGCCTTTTCCACCTGATGAGACTCCAGGCAGCTTATGGATAAAAACAAGAATTGCTAAAAAGAAAAAAGATAATTAAAAAAACAATTAAACATTAATAGAATTAAAACCATACACATAGATAAAAGTTAAAATATACAAATAATGACAATAAAAACAGCACAGCTTGTGGAATGGCCGCAGATGGAGAGCGTTCTTGGAGTTGAGGAGCCAAGCTGCAGTTGGTCCCAGCAGACCTGCTGGAGGGGATGTCCTTGTTTCACTTCTCTGATACAGCCAGGTTGGATGGCCACAGATGAAGACAGTCTTGGAAGAGGAGGAATCAGATGGCAGTCAGTTCCAGCCGGGCTGATGGACTGCCTCGAAGTCCCCCATAAACCTCTGTAACTGAACAGGGATTATGAACCTAGGACTTCCTGTTCCCTTTCCATCACTGGACATTTCATCTATCCCGGTGGAGACTTTTAGGGCCAATGAGAAACGGTCCGCCAATCTCCACCTGCCTGCCTGCTTGCTTACAACCAGTCCAGGAGGTGGCAGCACTACATCTCAGCTTCCTCCACCTCGGTTTCGGTGGTGGCCTTGTAGAATTTAGCTGGGAGGAGGATGGAGACACAACTGGAATGGGTTGGCTCTGCCTGCCACTGGCTTTGGCGCCACCTACTGTTTGGGCTCCCTGCCACCTGCCCAATCAGCTGCCACCACTCCATCCACCCCATCTGCCAGGCCATATACGCAGAGAAGCAATCCTTAAACAGTGGAATTCTTAGCCTGTTTTACTTCTGGTCTGTACTGCTGTGCAACAAAAGCTGTTTGTGGGCTTGGAGCCCACCAAAGGTGCCTCCAAGCGGAAGGGCTGGGAGGTAGATTTGGTGCAATGGTTAGAGTGCTGCACTATGACTTGAGATGCCGGGGATCAAATCCCTGCTCAGCCATGAAGCTCACTGGGTGACCTTGGGCCAATTACTGTCTCAACCTAACCTACCTCGCAGGGTTGTTGTGAGGAGGAAATGGGAAGGAGGAAAATTGTGTACGCCACCTTGAGCTCCTTGGAAGAAAAAGTGGTATATAAATGTAACAAACAAAGAAAAGCCCAAATCTCTCTCTCTCTCTCTCTCTCTCTCTGTGTGTGTGTGTGTGTGTGTGAGAGAGAGAGAGACAGAGAGCCTAGACCCAGGGGATCCATTCTGTTTCGCCCTGTATAGTGTATGGATACAATTTCTTTTCCTCCACACCTCCTGTCCCTGTGGAAGCTGGTTTGCCTGTAGATCATCTGCTGTTTTCTTTCTCCAGAGCCTGCTATATAAAGCAAGTTTCTGTCTTACGCTGATTTCTTCTGGGCTCATTTTTAATTCAAAGCACTGGCTCCAAGAGAGTGGGACTAGCTATGTTTCAGAGTCAGGAAATGGTATCCAAAGGAAGGATTTTGTGCCTCCCACCCCCTTTTCAACTGGCCATACAGCTTTGTTGTTGTTGTTTAGTCGTTTAGTTGTGTCCGACTCTTCGTGACCCCATGGACCAGAGCACGCCAGGCACTCCTGTCTTCCACTGCCTCCCGCAGCTTGGTCAAACTCATGTTAGTAGCTTCGAGAACACTGTGCAACCATGTTGTCCCCTTCTCCTTGTGCTCTCAATCTTTCCCAACATCAGGGTCTTTTCCATGGAGTCTTCTCTTTTCATGATATGGCCCAAAGTATTGGAGCCTCAGCTTCAGGATCTGTCCTTCCAGTGAGCACTCAGGACTGATTTCCTTAAGAATGGAGAGCTTTGATCTTCTTGCAGTCCATGGGATTCTCAAGAGTCTCCTCCAGCACCATAATTCAAAAGCATCAATTCTTTGGCGACCAGCCTTCTTTATGGTCCAGCTCTCACTTCCATACATCACTACTGAAAAAACCATAGCTTTAACTATATGGACCTTTGTCGGCAAGGTGATGTCTTCTTTTTAAGATGCTATCTAGGTTTGTCATTGCTTTTCTCCCAAGAAGCAGGTGTCTTTTAATTTCGTGACTGCTGTCACCATCTGCAGTGATCATGGAGCCCAAGAAAGTAAAATCTCTCACTGCCTCCATTTCTTCCCCTTCTATTTGCCAGGAGGTAATGGGACCAGTGGCCATGATCTTAGTTTTTTTGATGTTGAGCTTCAGACCATATTTTGCGCTCTCCTCTTTCACCCTCATTAAGGGGTTTTTAAATTCCTCCTCACTTTCTGCCGTCAAAGTTGTGTCATCTGCATATCTGAGGTTGTTGATATTTCTTCTGGCAATCTTAATTCCGGCTTGGGATTCAGGCCATACAGCTAGCTACCTTCATATATTCAAAGCACGTTTGATGAGTTGAACAGATGGTTGATTAGCCAGATTATATTTTATTTTGATAGAAGAGGGAAAGACTTATTTTTACGCAAGGTGTTAGTTTTTTTAATTTTCTACTTTAGCGTGAAGATGTTTGTTATGTGAGTTTTAAAAATGTCTACTTTTTGATGAGATCAGCTCTAGACGGGCAAGCATCCATCTAGATGGGTGAACATCCATCTGTCTCTTGATGACTGCAGCTGTTTCTCAGAGTGGTAGGTGACCATATGCAATGGCTGACGTTGCATGTCACAGGAAACCAGCTTTCGCCCACCTAGAACCTTCAAAATGTTGTTGGACTTTTGTTCTTGTTCTTGTTGCTATTCTAATAAGAATAGAAGACTAAAGAAAAGACTAAGGAGTCCCTAAGATCGTTGGATGGCACCTTGTACGTCTCCTTCCTGCATCTCCTGCTGCCAAGCTAGTGACAAACTTATTGCTCTGCTTTCCTTTGGACCACATCAGCGAGGCTGAGGACTTGTCGTCTGGGCAGCCCAGGGCCTCCACAGACACTGACCAGGCTTGTGCCCTGGAGAGGCCACTGGTTCTGCTAACGCAGCAAAAACAATGTGGGACTCAACAGCCACAGCGGGTGCTGTGATTCCTCATAAGTTTGACTTTGACCTTGGAGACAGACACCATTGTCTTTCAAGACAGACGGATGCCGACCAGCTAAGGAAGATAGTAAGCTGCCTTGTATTGAGTCAGGCCTTTGGTCCATCTAGCTCAGGGTATAGGAGAGTATATAAAATTTATCAAGAAGAAGAGGAGGAGGAGGAGTTTGGATTTGATATCCCACTTTATCACTACCCTAAGGAGTCTCAAAACGGCCAACAATCTCCTTTCTGTTTTTGCCCCACAACAAACAGCCTGTGAGGTGAGTGAGGCTGAGAGACTTCAGAGAAGTGTGACTATCCCAAGGTCACCCAGCAGCTACATGTGGAGGAGCGGGGAAGCGAACCCGGTTCACCAGATTACGAGTCCACCGCTCTTAACCCCTACACCATGCTGGCTCTCACAACAACAACAACAACACACTGACTGACAGTGTCTCTCCAGGGTTTCAGGCAGGGGACATTTTCAGCCCTGCCTGGCAATGCCAGGAATTGAACTCGGAACCTTATATATGAAAAGCAGATGCTCTACCACTTAGGTACTGCACTTCCCAAAAGAAGTTCTCTGTTTTGTTTGCTTTGAATCTTCTGCCAGTCAGTTTCACAGGATAACCCCTATGCATTAGGGAGGGAGGAGAGAGGGAGAGAAATCTCTCTCCACTTAAAATAAATGTCTCTGCCCCAAAGTTAGTAATTAGAGATAAAAATAAATAAATCTATAAGTGTCTGAAAGGCACTGTGATACTAAGGAAGAGCTTTGCTCATGTTTGGTTTGGGGTCCTTTCTGAAAGCAGTCTCCTGGAGATGTGGGTATAGGAAAGAGGATGAGATCTATATGTACGTGATGGTTTTCAGATGCTTAGTTTTAACAATTTATTGCTGTTATTTATTGTGTGGCACCCAACAGGAACATTAGCGCTAGGCAGTTGGTTTTTTTTATTTTTTAATAGAAAGCTCTGTCCATATCTGAAACAGAACTATTCTTGATTTAGACGAAGGGAGAGAGCGATTGACAGGTTAGTTCCGTTAATTGGATTTGACCACAGCCATTGAAATGTTTTATTCCTTCTAATTGCAAGGCCCTCACTCCAGTTGCTTCTTGTACGGTTCGATAGGGTAGCACCCTGGAGTACTGCAACAAAAGCAAGTTAAAATGGGCAGAGAAGAGCACATGGTGAAGTCCATCTGGGATTATACCATTTCACTTGGTATGCGGGGGGATATTCCATTTGCTGGCTTATGTACAAACCATGTGGCTGACTGGAAGCTTTTTTTTCCTGGCAGGGATTGTAGCTTGAAATATCGCAGCCCCAAGTGGTGTGGCACCACAGAAACTCCAGTCTGCATACCCATCCACAAATGAAAAAGTCCCTGCTTCTGGAAAGCTAACATTTCAGGGACATGGGGTTAGCTTAGCTTCTCTCCACTTTGCTGATTTTCAGTGTTTGCAGACTTTCTGTTTATATTTTATTTAGGGACTGTGCAATTCCCTGCCTGTAATCTGATGTGTTGCAGTTGAAGAAAGGGCCTTACTATATGATTTCTGTAAGAACAGAATGTATGTTGCCTATTCAGAATGCAGGGAGAGGCTTTGGCATAAGGCTGGGGCTCTGCACACACTGTCTGTTGAAAGCACATGACACTTCTCCCAAGAATCCTGGGAACTGTAGTTTGCCCCTCATAGAGCAATGATCCCCAGCACCCTTAACAAACTACAGTTCCCAGGATTCTTTGGGGGTAAAGGTAAAGGGACCCCTGACCATTAGGTCTAGTCGTGACCGACTCTGGGGTTGCGGCGCTCATCTCGCTTTATTGGCCGAGGGAACCAGTACAGCTTCCGGGTCATGTGGCCAGCATGACTAAGCCGCTTCTGGCGAACCAGAGCAGCACACGGAAACGCCGTTTACCTTCTCGCCGGAGCCGTACCTATTTATCTACTTACACTTTGACGTGCTTTCGAACTGCTAGGTTGGCAGGAGCAGGGACCGAGCAACGGGAGCTCACCCCGTTGCGGGGATTCGAACCGCCGACCTCTTTGGGGGAAGTGAGGTGCTTTAATCATATGGTGTGTACCCATCCTAGTTGTCTATGGGATGGGAAACCTGTGTCTACACTTCAGACCACAGATGAGGCATTTCAGAATTGAATGAGCTGCCAGATTTGTTTGAAAAACGTGGCCTAATGCTCATTGTGTAGTTCGAAAGAGCACAGTTTGCGAGCCAACCTGGATCTTTGCAAGGTAATGTGAGCCTCTGGGGTGCCAGTGAATGGGTTGGGACTTTATGTGACCCACATATTTCTCACTAGTTGTGGTGGGTTTCAGTGGCATGTGATTTCACTGGGGTTCAATAAGCCACAACCTCATCTCACCCCAGCTTCTGCTCTGAACTATATATTTACCAATGACATGATGCATATTTTCCCTGCTTGATCTGTAACAGAGTTATACCTTCCCTGGTGGGGTCACTATTTCACTGATGTAAAAGTGACACCTCTCCTGAACCCCAGGGGCTATGCTTTAACTCTTTGCAATGAGATTGCTCCCTCTAGTGGTTTGAGAGGGAGCGTGTGTGTTTAGTTTTGCCAGTAGCAACGTTATCAAATGATGTCATGACCTCGGCGGATGACCTCATACTTGGTGTGTTGTTTGCTTTGGTTGCAGCTTCAGGCAACTTAGGCAGTATGTCACAACTTCACTTCTCAAATACAGAAACTCTCAGATCATAGACTCGTTGAAAACTGCATCTTCTCAGTGTGCTAAGTTACCACAAGATAGGAATTCTGATGTGGGGAATATTCAAACATGAGAACACCCATTTGCTTTCCAGGGTGGGTGTATCTGAGCTACATTATGTATTCGAGAAGGTGGCATATAATTACATGATTAGAGATGGCAGTAAATACTGCAGTGATGGATTCAAGTACTGGCAATTAATCAGGGTGTCCGTACTGTAGTTCTGTACCAGT